TCTTCTCATGTCTGGGCATTTAAAGCTTCCGGCTTAGGCATAGCGGGATGACGGACGCGAACTAAACCCCGTGACTGAAAATGGCACGCGTTGAGGGAGGGAGGGAGGGAGGGACTTGCCTCGCACATCTCCAACGGGCCAGGAGTCCAGCATGAAGAATTCGAATCTAAGAACAGTGGGCACCTAACCCACAGCACTCTCGAAGCTGCGCTCCATGAGTTCTAGGTCGCCTCAACCCGCAAGACATTCGCACAAACACAGAAACCTAGGGTTCCGGGCGGTGGTCGCGGGATGTGAGGCTCTGAGGATCACAGGATTGGGGGTTGCAACATACACAAGCACCACAGCGCGGCTCTGAAACCCTGAGGGCTGCTGACCAAGAGTCCGCTGCGCGTAGCGTATGGGAAGCTCCTGGGCGAGGTTGAGGTTATAGGGCTTCGCCAGGATGCTTTCAAGCATACTGGGAGGTTCATGGGTAGCTAAGAGTAGGGTTATGAGTACCCTAAGGGTAGTTAAGAGTAGGGTTATGTGTACCCTAACATGAACCTTCAAGTAGGACTTAGGATGGGAGTGAGGAGGGCTCTCTTTGTGACACGGCGTGCATACAGCCGACATCCAGACCTCACTGCCGAAGCTTTCAACCTTGCTCGGGTCGAGGAGTGTACGGTCGCACCATGCCGGGCCAAGCTCCACACAAAGAGGCCCAAGAACCTCTTTAAAATGTTCTCCACGCTGACAGCCCTTGCAAGACCGTAAGGAAACCCGAATAAAACACATGCATCCCGTACCACTGTAAGAACACGTCTCTCGGCGCAAACACAAATCACCTGGTAAGATCGGACTAACCTTGCACTTCACGGACCAGCGCTCATCCAGGGTAATTGCCATGTCATGTGGGGCCCCTTTGAGGGGTCCTGAACGCTCCCAATTCTGGCCCTGACCCTCAGCTGCACGTCTTCAGCCTTCCAACCCTTTGTAGCCTCCAGACCCACAACAGCTGCAAGCCACCACGCCTAAACCTCCAAAGCCAACAAGCACGGAAGTCCACTCTCGCTGTCTGCGGCTCTGCGGTACGTGGAAGGCAAGGCACGCGATACGCAAGCTTCGCTGCTTTCTCCGGCGTCTTCGCATCAAGGATCCTTCGCACGCGGCTGACAGAGATTGGGCTGGGGGAGGGCTTTTGCAAAGCCCTTACCATGCGATCTTGGCACAAGACGCATCTTGCTGAAGGGCCCTTCGGGGGCTTGCTCTAGGGTAGCCTTGCCTGATGCGCTGTTAGGGTTTAGGGTTAGGGTTTAGGGTTTTGGGTTTTGGGTTTTGGGTTTAGGGTTTAGGGTTTAGGGTTTAGGGTTTAGGGTTTAGGGTTTAGGGTTTAGGGTTTAGGGTTTAGGGTTTAGGGTTTAGGGTTTAGGGTTTAGGGTTTAGGGTTTAGGGTTTAGGGTCTGCGGTTTAGGTTTTACGGATTTAGGGTTTACGGGTTTAGGGCTTACCAAAGAACACCCCCAAGCTCGCCCGGGCACTGCCGCAGAGTGATGGACTTCGGCTCCAGGCCAGCGAAGAAGACCACCTCTTTCATGGCTTCCGCCCCCAGGGTTTAGGGTTTAGGGTTTAGGGTTTAGGGTTTAGGGTTTAGGGTTTAGGGTTTAGGGTTTAGGGTTTAGGGTTTAGGGCCCGAACAGCCCCCTAAGACCCAGAACCCCCAGCTTCTTAACTGCCAAACAAAGATCAGAGCGCAACATCAACCTGCGCACTCCTCTATCCAGCCTGCGTTCCACCTCAGCGCCGTGAGCCCCCCTAAAGGCCCCCAAAACCATGGACAACCCCAACCCCCAGAAAGGATCAACTTGGAGAGATCCGTGTGAGAAGATGCGCATCAAGGTAGGATCCGCACCTGCACGCCCTAAGCCCTGAACACCCCCTTTTTTTGCATTCACGCTTGGGAAAACTGTAAACCTCAAAACCTCAACTCAGCCCTTTTTTTGCTCCTAAACCCCGCAAGCATCGCCAAGGGGCCTCGGCTTGCAAGAACTCGTGCAAGCGCTCCTAGCGTGGAACAGCCGATGGGAGGGTTTAGGGACCCAGGAGGGAGAGCAACTCCACTACCCTAAACCCTTTTAACCCTAAACCCTAACCCTAAACCCTAAACCCTAAACCCTGCAAGTTCGGAAAGGCGGAAAACTCCAAAAGGCCTAGGTCTTAAACCCCATTGGGTTTGGGGGGTGGGGGGAGGGCTTCGGGCTCTACGCCCGACAGTCCTTGGAAATCTGCACCGCCGAGGAAGCTGAACTGAACCGCCTGCACAGCGCTGTGGACCAACCGGTTTCGAGGTTCATGGGTAGTGATAAGTAGGGTTATAGGTACCCTAAGTGGGGTTGTACGTATACTTACCATACTTAAAACTACCCATGAACCTCCACGTAGGCAAGCAGAATCATAGAAACGCTTCACGCAAAGCGACATAGGGTGGGTCGTCGCTGACGTGTTGCCTTACCTATCCTGTGTAATTTGTCAAGCTCAATCGACTGAGCCTCTAAACACTAAGCCCACAGACCCCTTGGGACAGCCGACCGCCCACCTCACTCGCAAGCTCCTTGGCCGCAGCGTGCTGCGCAGCAAGTCCCATCTGGTTGCCTTGTTTAGGACGCTCAGGACGAGCAAATCGCCCTAAACCCTAAGCCTAAACCCCAAACCCGAACCCCAAACCCAAAACCCCAAACCCCAGACCCTAAACCCCAAACCCTCAACCCCAAACCCTAAACTCCCTTTACAACGACCCATCTCCAGCTCTTTTTCCACCCTCCCTCCCTTGGAGGTTCATGGCAGTTCATGGTACTTACCAACCAATTACAACTGTACTTATGACCCACTTATAAGCCCCTTAAGTGCCCCAATATGGTTATAAGTACAGTTAAAAACCGTAACCCTTTTGCAACGCGCTTGGCTATGCTTCCGCCCGGCTTGGCTGTCCCAATACCCTGTACGTAACCCTAAAACCTAAACCCCAAACCCTAAACCCTAAACCCTAATCCTAAACCCTAAACCCTAAACCCTAAACCCTAAACCCTACATGGTTAAAGTACAGTTATACTTGGTCCATAAGTACCATGAACCAAGCGCAAGGCCCCGGAGTCCATTCCGAGCGGCCACGGGCCGTAGCTTCGGAAGCATGGCAGCCACCAGTTGGGTGTTTAGGGTTTAGGGTTTAGGGTTTCGGGTTTAGGGTTTAGGGTTTCGGGTTTGGGGTTTAGGGTTTGGGGTTTCGGGTTTAGGGTTTAGGGTTTGGGGTTTAGGGTTTGGGGTTTCGGGGGGCTGGGTTTGTCTTTGTTTGTCTCCGGGCTTCTGCTTTCTGAATATGGGGTGGGGGTCAGGAGGGTAAGGGGGGGTGGGGGTGGGAGAGTTTGGGCTTGTGGGCTTCGGGGTTGCTTCTTTAGGTTTTGGGGTCTTTTCTTTGTTTTAGGGGGGGTTGGGGTTTAGAGTTTAGGGTTTAGGGTCCGCGGCCTCGATGGCTTTGAAGGCAAGGCTTGGAATCCCACCCCTCAAGCCCCGGTGCATGAACGTCCATAATGGTGGCTTCGGGTCAAGAGGGCGCGGGTTGGGGTCTAGGGTTTAGGGTTTCGCGTTTAGGGCTTAGGGCCGTTGAGGGTTTAGGGTGTCGGCGCGGTTGAGGCTTGTTGGCTGCCTTGAGTCGAGGTCACATCAAAAGCATCTGGTATGCCCTGGGCCCCTCTCGGGGGCCCGTCGTTCAAGAACCCTTGACAATATACAGGACATTGAACAGAGGGGCTCGGATCCCTTGAAAGAAATTGCCCGCCAAGTCATGTACACAGTCGCTCAAGTCAGTCTTCGGGATTGGGGCTAGCATCGCCCGCCTCCGCAACAGACATGAATCCTTCTTTCTCGAGCTCCTAAACCCTAAACCCAAAACCCTTTTTTGCCTAAACCCTAAACCCTAAACCCTTTTTGCAACTGGGCTTGAGGACTAGCCAGATTCAAGGTGGAGGTGGGTGTCAGGCTTTCGTTCCCACTTGTTGCATGCTCCGTAAGCACACGGTCTCCATGACGAAAACCTAAACCCTAAACCTTTTTACCCCGCCCCTCCCTCCACCAGTGTCAGGCCTTGAGGTTTGCCCGCTTCGGTGGCGGCGTTACAGTCACCGACTCCGCTGGGGCCGCCGGGGCCTCTCTCTAGAGTTTGCTGAGATACTTCTCTGTTTAGGGTTTAGGGTTTAGGGTTTAGGGTTTAGGGTTTCGGGTAGTAGTGCGATGTGGGGGGTGCAGAGCTGTTAGGTGGGAGGACGTCGTGCGCCCAGCAAAAGCCTGCAACCACAAGACCGCGGCTGATCTTTTGGGATGACCGAAATGGAAGCATGCTTCTGCTACGCTCAGAGGAGGCCATGCTATCTGAATGTGGTGTTGGAGCCTGTGCCGGCGACGGCTCACGGGGTGATGTCACCATGGCGTCAGCCTCAAGCCATGCATCGAGCTGCCCAAGACATGTCCATGTGGCTTTTCAAAGCTTTTCAACTAGAAGCCTGCAAACCCAATCTGTTTTCACTTAAACGAAAACAGACTGACGTCTTGACAAGTCTGAGAATTGCAGGCCGCCAGCCCAACCAAAAGTTCAAATTTAAGGTCTTTTTTGGCCCCCTTGCAGTGATGGTGTCCGCAAAACCTACTTGTAACTATGAAGTGACACTCTTACTTCCACCAATTTTCGCAACCAGTATTGTATGGGGCCTATTGTATCAAAGTTCCAAGCCCCACTGCAATCCCAACACAAATGCCTAAGCAAGAACATGTGATCAAACATGATCAAACTGTCAACGTTGGTTGCTGCTCTCTCTCTCAGCTTCCCCCAACATCCCGCAGCCACATAGACAATTGAACTTACGCTTTCGCATCTTGACCACACACTCGCCGATCGCTTGCACAGCAACCCACTTTTTCAACTCAGGCTTCTTTTAACGGCAACCCCCTCTCTCTCTCAGGCATTCGAAACGTCAAGCCTGCCAGGGACAGCTCTCGTGGCTACCCCCGTAACGGCAACCCCCTAAACTCTAAATCCATAACCCTAACCATTGACGGGACATAACGAACGGAGGCCGTAGGATGAAACCGGGAGACTCCACAAAGCAATGCGTCACCGTGACAAACCAGTCCCGAGTGTGAAGGCCTTCGCGTGCCTACACTTGCGATGAAGTCCCTTGTCTCGTACCCCTTGTTGAAGGTTTAAGGCTTAGGGTTCAGGTTAATAATACTCATAATGCCAATACCACTAATCATACGAATAATACGAATAATACGAATAATACAAATAATACGAATAATACGAATAATACGAACAATACGAATAATACGAAGAATACGAATAATGCGAATAATAAGAATAACAACGAATCATACTAATAATGCGAATAATTCTAAGAATACTAATCCTAAAAATACGAACAATGCGAATAATACTAACAATACTATTGATACTAATAATGCTGATAATACCAATAATTCTAACAATACTAATAATACTAATAATACTACTAATACTAATAATACTAATAATAATAATAATACTAATAATACTAATAATACTAATAATACTAATAATACTAATAATACTAATAATACTAATAATACTAATAATACTAATAATATGAATAACACGAATAATACGAATAATACTAGTAAAATAAGACTAACAAGACTACCAATACCAAAAAAAATACTAAGACTAGTAAGACTAATAATACTAATAATAGTAATACTAATAATACGAACGGTTAATTACCTTATTACTTACCAATATTAAAATATCAAAAACACGAATCATATTAAACCTTATATGAACAAACTTACTGTCGCATGGCATCCTTGGTTTTCTCTTTCTGCCTTCCTTCCTTTCTCAGCTTCGGATGCGCCATCTTGGCGGGGTCTTGCGTGCAGTTGCTGAGATTAGCAATTAAGGAAGCAACAAGTGAATCGGGGTGCATGCAGATTTAGTTGTCGGTTGTGCTGTGGTCGAGGCCCCCTGAGGGATCTGCAGCCACCCCAGTCCTACTAGTTGCTTAAGAACCCCCAAGAGAAAAAAAACTAAATTACTCCTGTATTACCCTTAACAAGGAAGAATACTTCTATTTTTTTGGTGGTTCTGAAGCAAGTAGTAGAGTCAACAGTCGCCTGACTTTGGGTCCTTTCGGTATGGTTTTACAAGCGCTGGGCCCCTGCAACGAGTGGCCAACGGGAATGCAGCGCACTTACAGCTCGCAGGATGGATCTTCTTCATCCTGCCACTGCAGCAGTGCTAAAGCCAACAAGCACGTGGGGTCGTTTTCAGGGATCGGAATTTAGGGTTTAGGGTTTAGGGTTTAGGGTTTAGGGTTTAGGGTTTAGGGTTTAGGGTAGTACATACACAGCGGAAAATAAGAGCTTGAGCCGACGGGCAGCAACCAAACCGTGCCGGCATGCTCGCCTGGCACTGTGGTGAAGATAAAACTCAGCCGCAAGTCCTGCGCCCCTGCGGTTTAGGGTTTAGGGTTTAGGGTTTAAGGGTCACGATGGAGAGCACGCCGCTGGGGGGAAGGGGGGGAGGGGGCATGTGGACTTTGCGACTGCGCTGCCACCCGGCTACCGGCAAAGACTTCGTCTTTGGATGTAGGATATGTGCTCTTAAGAAAACACTTGTACCCTAACTCCAACATTCAGACAGCCCCCCGGGCAAGACACTTCAGAGAAGAGTGTCAATGAAATGGATCCAGCGCTCAATAAGTGAGACTCCCTAAGCTTAAGCTTGAAATGCCCTAGCTAGCAAATAGTCCCTGTTCCACGGGAGCACGTCCACCACAACGGCCTGGATCTAGGAAGATCAACAAAACACCTTGCAGAGCTTTAGCTGGTTCATACAGTACAGGGCCAATGTCATCCGACTACAGAACGGGAACCCGACTAGGAGGTCCCCCACCGGCTAAAGCTCTTGGACGCATGGAGGGAACCTGTGGCCGCCTCCATGGTGCAGGAAGCAAAGCTCTTAAGCACGAGCCACAAAAAAACACAAAGACGATTGCCCACTGGCATGGGGCAATAAGTTGGCATGGGGCAACAAGCAGGCGTGGTGCATGAGTGAGTCGAGGCCAGATTCGCGAATCGCTCTTGCGATCTACCGGCGAGACTCGACAATCTTGGTGAGCTCATTCGGCGCATGCTCGACTTCTCGCTGGAACCGATTCAGCACACAGAGGTGGCATTCATGTAGCCGGCGATCTGGGGGCATGGGCGCGCCCCTCACGTAATTGATCTTCCAGGTGCTGGAGTCCCAAGACGACCAACCTGGCTTCGAGTCTTCATCCTCATCCTCCGGCGAGAGAACTGTACTTCCAGAGCCTCTCTGTGCCAGATGCTTGGCCGATGCTTTCCGAATAGCCTCCTGCCTCTTCACCTCTGGGCCCCCCGCTGCTTCAGAGATCGTCTGCTGCTGCGAAGCCTCCCAGAGTTCACCCGACGAGGGAACCACCTGACGTAGCCGCTGCTGGGTCGGCTGCACCGTCGCCGTACTTGCCCCGCATCCCATGGTTGAGCGAGCACTCAACACTGCTTTCTACCCAACCAGGGGGTGCAAGGAGGAAGCCTTTGGACTTCTTGCATGGGGCTGCGTGACACTGACTCAAGTCTCTGTGGTGCGGTGCATGCGTGCGATATCAAAAAGCATGTCGCATTTCGGGGGCATGCCATGCTGGTGCCCAAATGGCTGTGCAGCCCAAGCGGTTCAGGGTTGGGTACGGGTTAAGGCTTCGACATGCACATGCACACGCACACGAGGCAGGCAAGGCAACTGGCCGCAAACAGAAGAGGTCACCACATACGTTCATACGTACAGCCGACAAGTGTCCAGAGGGGAACGATGAACAGCTCTTATAAAAGCTTCGAGTCCAGGATAGCCCAAAGCCATGGAAAGCTTCTTGCGGTCTGTTCTAGGTTGAAAGTATGTAACTTAGACCAAGCGCCATCTCGAAAGGGGTCTAGACGTAGCCAGCAGCCGACATGTTCGCCTGGACGTCGCTTAGCTAGTCAGCCCCAAAGACGTGGCAGCTACTCAGCCCCAAAGACTCGGGATGTTGCCACGTATACTAACAGTCCTTAATAGGGATCATAGTATCCCCTACTATGCTCCCTTTTAAGGACTGTTAGTATAAGAGGGAACATCCCAACTCCCAACCAAACACCCTTGGGCTCCAAAAAGCCTCGGTTGGTGCTGCTGCCCGGCCCCCGCCGGACAAGCGTACAGCCGAGGCCTGTTCCAGAGCATCAAAGACTGACTGTGGCTCTGTGGCTCAACGGGGGTACTATTAAAACTATTATCACGATTATTACTATTCCTACTAGTACTACTGTTACTATTATATCGGTTTCTGTGATGGTTTGGGTGTGATGGTTTGGGGTTTGGTTCTCTAGTTGAGCCCATGTGTTCTTGCTGCTTCGGGGCTGAGTCTGTTCGGGTTTGGTCCGAAGTTTCTTCTCACACATGTCCGGTGCAGCTTATGATGTTAAGATTCCGGCGCCTGCATGGCATTTCGGGTTCTCACGACTTGCGCCTAAGGCCTAAAAGGGCTTTGTTTTGGAGTGGGGACTGGATTAGGGACCACGTTAACCACGTTAAAGCTCCCATGTGCCCGCTCAACTCGGAAAAACATCGCTCTGTGAGTTTCTTGGAAAGACAATATGACTGCCCATGTGAGAAGAGCACCGTCCCCTCCACGCTCGCCCTCTCCGGGCTTTGGTATAGCGGTATAGCGGGGCGAGCAAACGGCTTGGGGGACCCAGGTTCGAACCCCGGACCAAGCTCCGCAGACAGGATAAGACCGAGAGAGTAGGGCGCGTGCAGCTTCCGGATTGGTCTGGGAGTGGTCCGGGTGGAGTCTACAACTCTCCCCTCTGACACACCGTCACCGTCACCCTCACCCCTCCCTCGTTCCTTCTTTCCTGTACGCATAGCCCCCAGGGGGTCTCGCCCAGCGTCGCGGCGGGAGACAAGGGTGCATTTCCCGCTCCCGTTCCCCTCTCCGTCTCATTTCCTCGCCGCGCTAGAAGAGGCAGGGCCACCTCCCACGTAGTCGCGTGCCCGCTACTTCGCGCGGTGCTGGCCGGTCAAATTGACGCGCTTCTTCTGCGTTTGGGGGCTTGTTCTTCTTCTGCACCTCTTGGAATCGACAAAGGAGCCCCTCCAGGCCCCAGGGGCCACACTGGCCCGCTGCCTGGTTCGTTTCTTCTCCTTCTTTGGCGCACTTTAGGGGCTGCCCCTTGAAGGAGGAACGCGGCCGGCCGGCGGAACGGCCGGTTTATTCCGTGAGTTCATCCTCCCCGGCTCGAAAATGTCCATGGGGGTCCCCTCGTCGCCCACTCGTGTTGGCATGATTCGCGGCTGGTCTTGGCATGTCTTGGCCCTCTGTACCTGGCTTCGTTCCTCTCCCTCTCTCCCTTCTTGCTTCCTTCTTTGCTTCCTCCCTTGCTTCCGTCTTTCTTTCTTTCTTTCCTTCCTTCCTTCAAGTCTGGGGGCTCTCGCTGCCTGTCTTTCTCTCCGTCCACCCGACATCTACATACATGCTGTTTTAGGTGCCCACAATAAAGTCCAAGGATTCACCTGCCGGCACTCGCGCGACCTTTCGGCACATGTCCAGGTCCTCGGGCTATGAGGTCTATAAAAACTTATGAAATCATAGATTCTATAAAGCCCTTTAAAGATTTATAACTTTTGTAGTCAGGGATCCAGTGCAGACAAGGCATCAGCGCCTGCACGTGCTTGTTCGCAGCTTCGACAGCCTCGAAACCCAGGACCATGAACCCTAATCGCAAAGCGAGTCACATGGTAAGGCTTGTGGGTGGTGGTTTTTGTCGACCAAGCCGGTGGCTAAGGATAAGCATATGTGGTACAAAAAGGCAGGATTGCACGGCAACTTCAAGACGTGTGGATCGGTGCAGGGTTACGGTAGGGGGGGTATGGGGCGGGCAGGCGGCAAGGCGAGAATGGGTCTTGACTGACGTCGCCCCTGCTGCAGTAGGGGTCGGCGGATATTATGGTTTCGCGCCGAAGAACTGAACAAGATTTGTTTGTTCTGCTTGTGTTTAGACGCGGTGTTCGCTTGGCCAGGACAGCAGATAAGAGATATCACTTAGGCGTGAAGGCTTCGACTGTCACATTTGCGTGGCAGGCTTCGGGCTTCGGCTGCTTTGTAGATGGACAAGCACAGAGACTAAGATCAGCATCTGCAATAAGGGGAAGCTTTGGGCCTTTCCATGGTGTACTCAAGAGCCCTGAACTAGCGAACCTGAACCCAAGCGTCCAAGAAGCCGACGACCCTTGGGAAGCCTCCCCACGCTGTCGAACTTGTCGGAGTCGCTCGCGAAGTTCGGATAGTGCTACCTCCCAGAAGCCCTAAGCCTAAGCCTCAAAGCCACCTGATTTGGGCTCTGGGATTGGTAACAAGCTCGAAACACCCGCTCAAAATCCTAAGGTGCAGTATGCCAGCGGCCTTCGACCTCCAAAGCTTCCAACAAAGCCTGGATGTTGATGCACTGATATAGGGGTTTACGAAAATGGGGGACCTTCAATGTAGGTCCCAAAATAGTAGGGTGCCCTTGTAAGGTAGCAACGCAGCCCCATTTCTTGCAACAGGCGTATCTTGCTGCCCGGAGTTTTTGCCAGGGGTCCTGAACCTTCTGTCAGGAGCATCAGTGCCGAAACAACCGTCTAGGGAGTCTACGCAAACCCCAAACTCTCCTCCAGACTCAACACTTGCCCTCCGAATGACTGAACGCGCCTCACTTTCGGAGGGAGCGTCCACTCGAGGGGCCATGCCTTTGCCCGGATGCATCCAGCCCTTACAAACAGCACGTGCAAGCGCGTCATCTTGTAGCCAGTACGGGAGAAGCCACCCTAGCTGGTTTTGCTGCGCGGGGTGGGGGGGGCGGGAGGGGAAATCTTTCAGGCTGTTGCAGTATAAAGGGCAGGGCACGCCGGCGTGAAGTTGCCCCATTTTTGGCTCCCGAGTTGCACATCTGACTCCCTCATACGGTTCAGGGCTTATGGGCTTAGGGCGTTGTGACCAGCTTGCCACATGGCGTCGCAACAAGAGCCTGAAAACCCCGCGCGTTCCCCAAATTTCTGGTTCTTGGTAGGGATGCAAGTACTCAAAGGGGGGATATAAGGTGTCTAGCTCCCCAAAGGCTTCGGCAGCTGCCTGGAAGAATTTGGGCCTTCACTAGCAGCACGGCATCGTGCGAGCTGCAAGATGTGGACGCTTCCCACAATAAGGGTTCCTGTAGGAAAAAGACAAAGATATTCCTTGGGGGGGTAATTTGTTGTACCCCTCTATTTTGGGAAACGCACATGTGCTCCCGGGGCGCGGCCTCTGGCTGCCTCCTTGACGTCGGGCTTTGGAAGTATCTTCGGCATGGGGGCCTCCACAGTGGGTCCAAAAAACTGCGTTCACGAAAGAGCCATGAATTGCCCTTCTAAACCCATAGGAACCCTGTAAATAATTACCCCAAAGCCCAAAGTAACCTTCAAACTTCTTTGTAAACCAAAAGGAACCCCAAATAATCTTGCGCTCATACATATATATATATATAGTATACTATAATCTAGAGTCTATGTTATATATAGCAAAATTATATATTGTATCATATGTATATATATAGAACGAGAGAGTATACCGCTGCACATCACAGTCGCATGATCTGCAGCTGGTGATGGTGCAGGCCTCCAGCCCTGTAAACCTCAATGCCTGAAGATCCCTAAACCCTATAAGGCCCTGAACCCCATAAAGTCCTAAACCCTTTAATAGCCCTGCCCTAAACTCTATCAGGCCCTAAACCCTAACCCTATAAAAACCCTAAACCTAGAAAGCCCTAAAGCCCTGGACCCTTTATTGCATCCAGGTCTCTTGCAGCCAGCCCTAAACCCTAAACCCTATAAAGCCCTAAACCCTATCAAACCCTGAACCCGATAAAGCCCTAAACCCTAAACCCTACAAAGCCTGAAAGCGGCCCGCCTGGAAGGCTGGCTTTGCCGGTCCTTTTGGGGACTCCAGGGGCACCTGGGAATTGGGCCTCTGCTTCAACAGCAATTACAAAAGGATCAGAATTTCCCAAAAAAGGCGTACTCCTTGTTCATGATGTGATTATACAAGAATCCCCTGAAAGGGGCCCCCCAAATCTTAAAGTTTTCCAGACAGGCTTGGCGGTAATTCCATGGGCTTTTGGACTTCTCTGGCTTTATTGAATGAAGAAGGCGTATGAGTTGCACAAATGATCGGATGCTCAGGGGCTTTTTTATTCTTCTACCTTACTACAAGTGCCGGAGAGGCCCATGCACTACTCCTCCAAACTCGATAAACTCAAAAGCCCCAAACAAAATGACGCTAAACCCGCAAAAGAACCGAAAGCCCTTGGCAGAAGGGCCCTCAAGCCCAACTCTCGCGAGCAACAGCCGCGAAGAACCGCTTGGTCGCTGGCCTCGCGAAGCGCAGGAGCAGGGCGCTTCACCTGCATGCCCTGGCGACGCTTTGCCAGCTCCTGACCGGGGTGCTTCCGCCAGCTTTACGTCGATTTTTCAGCGTCTGTCAGCCCAGAATGCTTTGCATAGGTCCGATGGTCTGGATGCGACGTCGTGCTCAATCTCTCACGGCAAATTATGCCAAATCAATGCGAACGATATGAGGTCCAAGAGGAAGCGGAGCTCAGGATGTGTCTGGGATCGGCCTCGGGACCCTAAGGCTGGCTCAACCCACTGAGCGGCAGGGGATTGTTGACACAACCCTAAGCCTTATGATGGCCGGTGGCCTCTTTACCTGTTACCCTTATACCTTAGTATAGCCCCTAGATACCCCAATAAGGACCCCCTACCAAACAGAAAGCCTACTTAAAGAGATCACCAGGCAATATAACCTAAACACCATAGCGCCCTCTACCCCTAACCCTACTGAAGCGAACGCTGTATGCATGTGTCGTTCTTCGCCGTCTGCTTTTTTTTCGTGCTCTTCTGGAGAAGTTGAGACCCTAAACCCTTTTGCCCTAAACCACCCCCCTGGAGCTGCCGAACCCTGAGCCCCGCTGCGTCCTCCTGCAGCTTGTGGATCTTGGCCTGGTGTGCTTCGGCCTGGAGCTGCCCGCGTCTCACACTTGTAATCGGGTGGGCTAAGTATTCCATTCTGATTAACCGCTACACCTTGTACAACCAGGAGACCCAAAACCAACAGGCGCATACTGCAGCCATGTTTCCAGATATTCCAGCCGATGTTCATCCATCCTTCACCCTTTCTGTTGTGAGGAGTTTGAGCAAGCCTCAAGGGCTTAAGCCAACGTTGTGAGTAGAGCTCGTGCGACAGCCCCTTGAACGGTTCTCAGGCCTGAGGCCACCTACGCAGAACAAGATTTTGGGGCTCTAGCCCTAAACCCTAAACCCCAAACCCTAAGCCAGGATTGCAAACCCTTTTCGATTCCAGATTCTTGTCCTCGCAACCTTTCTTTGAACCGAGGCTCTGCACTCAACACTAAGGCCTTTAACACCTTTAACCCTTTTGCAGCAGGGCTCAGGCCCCTCTCAAGTGTCTGGTGAAACCCTTTAACCCTTGAACCCCAATAGATCCTCAGGGTGTAGGGTTTTAGGGTTCAGGGTTTAGGCTTTAGGGTTTTAGGGTTTTAGGGTTCAGGGTTTAGGGTTTAGGGTTTAGGGTTCAGGGTTTAGGGTTTAGGGCGTGCCAAACGGAAGCGCGCTTTGGGAGCGCGCGGTAGTCTGCACACCTGCCCGCCCCAAGACCGCCCACTTACAACCCTGAAGGAGTTAAGACCTTGTATTTCTTTTGGGGACCTTCACAAGGTGCGTGGACCAGGCACAAAGCTGCAGCAGACGGAAAGGCGAGGCAGGGTCAGCGAAGACAGCTTGGGTTGGCGCGAAGGGGCTATGGCCAGGGATGGGCCAGGAACAGACAAAGGCAGCGAGGCTTGGTTGGCGCGAAGGGGCTAAAGCCAGGGAGGCAGGGCCAGGGAACACAGGCAGAACAGCTTGTGTTTTGGGTGAAGCGAGTGGACAGCTTGGGTTGGGCAGAGCGCCACGGAACAGGGCAGGCGTGGACGAGGCACAAAACTGGTGTGCGGACAGCTTGGCTTGGCGCGAAGGGGGTTGACAGGGTGCACAGGGCCAGGCCAGGGCCAGGCCAGAGCAGCGCCAGGGGCAGGGGCAGGGGCCAGGGACCCAGGAGTCTCCAGGGCCCTCCAAGGGGGCATCCAATGCAGGACACAATGTGCGCAGACAACTTGGGGTTTGGGGAAAAAAAATATAATGCAGTGACAACTGCTGACTCGGCGCTGTGGTTGTCTGGAGGGTAAGCCAGCCTGGAGGCCAGCTCGGTCGCCCGCCTGGGGCTCCCTCGCAGGGTCTCACTGAGCGCTCGACCAGCGCCTACCCGAAAAGACAAGAGAGTGGCGGGCGGGGTTAGGGCAGGGTTCGCCCCCCCAGGAGTCAGCCTCGGCGAGAGCAGCCTTCGCAGCCTCATCGGAAAGGTCCTGGGAACGTCGGCGCCTCAAGGAAAAGCTTCTTCGGGTTTAGGGTTTAGGGTTTGAGGGCTTAGCTTAGGGTAGTTACATGGTCCCTTAGTATGGGCCCTTAGATGGGGGACCTTTTCATACCCCTTATATACCCTCTACATGCCTCAGAACCCTTAACAGAACCATATTAAGGGCCCATATAACTACCTTTATCAAGGATCCCTGTATAACTTAAGGTACATTTTGTGGATGTTCCCCCTTGTACTGACAGTCCTTAATCGGGATTATAGTACCCCCGATTGTAATCCCTATCAAGGGCTGTTTTTATACGGGGGAACATCCCACGGTATATTCTGAATTAAGGGGTATTGGGCTCCCTGTAGGCTTTTCTTATACAGCAGGGCCTTCTCTATCCTAGGGATTGCCGTGAAAGTGTTGGGGAAGACTGAGGCTTCCGCATTCCTAGGGCTTCCGAGAGTTTCTGCGTTGAAGCCCCGCGAGCCCACCGAGGGGTTCTAGGGCTCTAGGGTTTAGGGCTTAGGGCAGTTTAAGGCGCAGGGCAGTTTAGGGTTTAGGGTAGTTTGGGTAGTTTAGGGTTTAGGGTTTAGGGTACTGGTGAGCATAGCTGACACTGAAACTAGAAGCTATGGCAGTGCGAAAGCAAAATCCTGAACTTGCAACTTGGAAATCGTCACTTACGCACAGCGCGTTAACAAGGACTGCAAGCCTCAACTCGTGCACTCACACGACGTCCTCTTTAAGGCAAGTCGGTTAGGAAGTGATACGACCAAAAGATCTGAGCGACGCACCGCAGCGATGTTTCATCCTTTAGGGTTTACTCGGCGCTATCTCTGAGTCTGAGCAGCTGAGCGCGACTGCACTGTGAACCAGCACATCATCGGGACCATTCCCCAGCAGTAGTAGCACTACTGAGCGGCATAGGGTTTAGGGTTTAGGGTTTAGGGTTTAGGGTTTAGGGTTTAGGGTTTAGGGTTTAGGGTTTAGGGTTTGCAACAAGACACATAAGACCAGGCTTTTGCCGAACCCAAAGGGCTACAAACCGCGTTTGACAAGAAGGGGCATGCAAAGCCCGCCTTCTCCGTGGTGGCGAGGGGTCTGGTGGGGTTGGCGAGGCCCCTGCCGTCATGAGTATCCTTTGTTCTATCATGGATTATGGTGAAATAATTCAGGTTTAGGGTAGCAACTATACTATGAACTATTATGGATGATGGTGAAATAATTAAGGTTTAGGGGTTCAACCTCTGAAAAGCTGCAGGGTAGCGGGTGGCCAGCCTCACGCTGCAGGGATGGCAGTTGGCGCGATCACGAGTCTTCACCCACACGCCACATTAGTAAGTAAGAACTTGGAGAGCCCCAGATGCAGGATGTGTGGGGGTTTAGGGTTTAGGGTTTAAGGGTTGAGGGTTCAGGGCCGGGATCTCTTTTGTGCGGGCCTTGCCAGCTTAAAGAGGGAACCCCAATCCCCGCTGCCACGGGGATCCGAAGTGGATTCAACTTTCTCTGGGAGGGTCGATCGCGAGAGTTTAAGGCAAAGTTCGGTTTGTTCTTGGTGACATGGGTCCAGGGTTAGGCGCAGGGCTTTCAGAATTCGGACAGGCCGCCAGAGGCTTGTGCACGTGGTTCCGGTGACTCACCAGGGCCTTAAGATCCGAATTGCTCCAACGACAACTTAGGACCCAGAAGCTACTTCGGGTCGATTCCGTGCGCAGGGCGGCACTTCACAAGAGCTTGGGGCCTTTAGCGCACCAGTGCCCTCGCGCGGACTCTAGCGCACATGTGCATGTGCAAGAAACACAAATGACTCAAAGAGTCGAGTCTGAGCACCGGGAAGGTTCGAAGAACAAATACAATCATTTTGAACCCTAAACCCTAAACCCTTTTGCGTTGAACCCTAAATCCTAAACCCACGACCTTCAGCAGGAACCCCAGGCCTGAAGGTAGACCCGGCGGTGGCGGCAGGGCCAGGAGTGGCGGGACGGCCTTTGAAAAGGGCTTCGGCTCTCCACAAGGCCGGGATCTTTTGAGGGGTGTGGGATTCGACTTTCGGCTTTCGACTCTCGCACTTGTACTTGGGGACTACCGACGAGGAACACAGAGCAGGCGTCGCCGGTCTGTCAGAGCCGGTGTGGAACTCCAAGCCCATTCCGGTGCGCTCGTGTCGTTGCCGAAAAGGCAGCAAGCGCGGCAACCAGCACACTTACACGATGGCAGTGTCAGCGTTTTGTCGAGCGTAAGAAGCTCAGCAGTGCTCAGATCTTATCGTGCCTCCCGAGTCCCTCCCAGCTATCAAAAGTGTGTGAAACCGGAAGCCCATGAATGCATCATGATTGCTCAAAGGACCCATGACGCGACTGCGTGCCTTATCATGACTGAAATGCCACAAGTCTGTGACTCTTTCGACTGGCCTGGCGTTGACGCCGTGCCGTAGCGGGTTGTGATCGTGCCGGCGTCACGGGCGCTGGTGCAGGCGCCCCTGCCGCAAACGCGAGTTGATTCCATGACATTCGAACCGAGCTCCGGGCTTCCATATACCCTAAACTTCCCTGAACCCTAAACGCTAAACCCAATTCCGAGGTCCACAGGAACTTGACCAACTTGGCGCGTTGCCTCCACGCGCGTTCTCGGCAAGAAGGGCCTCCATCCTCTCCTGTCATTGGGAAAGAAGTCCAGATTAAGGGTTTAGAGCTTTAGAGGGTTTGAGGATTCAGATCAGGGTCTACCTAGGGCCTCTTTCCAGCTCAAGCACTGGTACCCCAAGACAAACCCTAAACCCTAAACCGTAAACGCTAAACCCTAAACCCTAAACCCTAAACCCCTCCAACCTGGGGACAATGCCTCAAAGCTCCCGTGCCTCTGCAGAGGGACGCGCGAAGTCCTGGGCTTCCACCCGAGGCGCGGCGCCTCCGTAGTCCCAGGGGTTGGGAAGGGTTTAGGGTTTAGGGTTTAGGGTTTAGGGTTTAGGGTTTAGGGTTTAGGGTTTAGGGTTTAGGGTTTAGGGTTTAGGGTTTAGGGTTTAAGGTTTAAGGGTTAGGGTTGGGATCTGTAATTAGGGTCCTTTTGGTGGTCACTCTGTTAAGGGCGCCGTACGAATACCCAGAAAGGGACCCTGATTTAGAAAGCTACCATATGGTCACTTTTCTAGATCAAACAGCTTTGTCGGGGTACCTAACATGTCCGGAGCCGTAGTTCAAGGGCCAAGAAGCGGACCAGAAATTCAGGGAAATGGCCATACCACCCCCCCATGTCTTGTTCTTTGGAACAGCCCTACAACCTCTTTTACATCCGGGCCTCTGATCCGCTAGCCGGGCAAGGTTGGCTGCAACACTCGAAGCCCAAGCCCAAAACCCAAAACCCCAAAACCCCAAAACCCCAAAACCCCAAAACCCCAAAACCCCAAAACCCCAAAACCCCAAAACCCCTAAACCCCTAAACCCCTAAACCCGAAACCCCAATCACATATGCAACCCTACCGCCCCCTACGGCCCCGAAGCCCAGAGCCTGACCGTATCAAAAGGGTGCCCTTTTGGGTTCTCATGTGCGGCTCTGAAGTAGGGGCACCTAGCTCCCCCGCACCCCCACACCCCCCATCCCAGAGCCCTTTTTTTGAACCCAGACTGTTGTAACCCTAAACCCCACACCCCGAGGCCCCTCCGGTCACCTGCTGCCGGCAGCTTGCAGGGCCCAGCCCCCTGGAAAGGGCTTGCAGGTGCGCTGAGGCTCTTAGGTTTAGTTTAGTTTGTGTTTTCACACTTGTTTTTGTTCTTGGTTTTGGCCTTTCTAAGATGAAAGTTCGAAAAATGCTGTTGTGACACACAATTCAAACATCAAAACTCAAGAAATTCTGAATCTGTTAAAGTGAGGGCTTTCGGCTCTTCTCATACGTACATATTTTATTATGTTGTATTATCTTATACTATATTACAGTATAATATAATGTATTTATTTGATTATATTAGATTGTGTTCTATTTTTGATATTAAATGATACTATGTTTTTTTGATATTATGTATATATATATATATATATATATATATATATATATGTGTGTGTGTGTGTATATTTACTTGCGCGTGCATGTTGAACATATCCATATACATACACATACACATACACATATACGTATACATATACATATATCTATATATATATATATATATACATATGTGCGTATATGTATATACATATATATATATATATCATACAAAAATGTATATACCTGTATGTATATATATATATATGTGTGCATGTATATAGGTATGTATAAATAGCTGGTTCTTGTATTTTATTCCTACCTGTTCACTGTACATATTATATATATATATATATGTATACATACATATGTATATACATGTGTCTACAAAGCTTCTTGTCTTGGGCTTTAGGTGCCCTCGCGGGAGTTGTGATGATTCCACGAGGCTCGCGAAGCACTTTGCCGCGTGCCTAGGCTGGCAGCACCCGCAGCTACATCCCCGCAACCCTAAACCCCAAACCCTAAACTCTAAAACCCTCAACCCTAAACCCTAAACCCTAAACCCTAGACCATCCTGAAGCCTGACATGGCGACTGACACCAAACCGCTAGAACGTTGAGGCCCGATGCCTTGCAGCTCTCAGCCGGCGCCTCAGATCAACATGCATCTTCATGTTGATAGTTTAGGGTTTAGGGTTTTAGGGTTTTAGGGTTTTAGGGCTTTAGGGTTTTAGGGCTTTAGGGTTTTAGGGTTTTAGGGTTCTAGGGTTCTAGGGTTTTAGGGTTGTAGGGTTTTTGGGTTTTAGGATTTTAGGGTTTTAGGGTTCTAGGGTTTTAGGGTTCTAGGGTTTTAGGGTTTTAGGGTTCTAGGGTTTTAGGGTTTTAGGGTGTAGGGCAGGACGATCTCCGCATTACGTTAAGGTATGTAATTAGGCGTGACTAGGTCTGTATGTCTACTCGTTTTCGGTTACCGCAGGTTCTCCCACCCTGCATCTCTAGTTCCGCCTTCCTAAAGCGTAAGGCCTTAATTGCGTGCCCGAGGCAGTTTCGAAACTGTCCCGGTGCAGGACAAGACAAGGGATAACTGCCCGATTGTGCCATCTAGGGTTTCCCGCAGCACGTGTGGTTTGCCCACACCTATTGGTTACTCGTATGGTCTGCCGAGGGCTTAGAGTTTAGGGTGTAGGGGTTTTAGGGTTTAGGGTTTTAGGGTTTAGGGTTTTTGGGGCTTAGGGTTTTTAAGGTTTTAGGGTTTAGGGTTTTTAGGGTTTCTAGGGTTTAGGGTGGTCTTCCCAGGGTTTAGGGTTTAGGGTATAGGGTTTTTGGGGTTTAGGGTTTTGGGTTTTTAGGGTTTAGGGCAGGGTCTGGGGTTTCCGGGGCTTAGGGTTTTTAAGGTCTTTACGGTTAGGGTTTAGGGTTTTTAGGGCTTTTAGGGCTTTTAGGGTTTTTAGGGTTTTTAGGGTTTTTAGGGTTTTTAGGGTTTCTAGGGTTTTAGGGTTTTAGGGTTTAGGGTTTTAGGGTTTTTGGAGGGGTTTTAGGTTTAGGGTTTTTAGGGTTGTAGGGTTTAGGGTTTTTGTGATCCTAGCGCGAGGGCACACATCGCGTATGCGCACGCTCGCGTCGGCAACTCCGGAGTTCGCGTCATGAAGTTGCGTGCCCTGTCAAGCTCTCCGGAGTCCTACAACCTCGGCAGGGGCGACGTTTTCGCATGTCGCAATGGGCCTCTGAAGCAATAGCGCGGGCAAACCACAAGTACTGGCCGTAGGGTTTTCCCACCTGTTTCGCATGCATTTAAGGGTTTAGGCTATTTAGGGTTTCGGGCTTCATCTCTCACACTCGTTTTTCGCAGAAGAAAGAGGCAACTTCTTACTCTGGAGAAAGTACAAGCGGGCTAGGCCATAATACGAAAGTGTTCAACCAACTTAGCTCCATAGATGGGAACAATTCAATAGCCAGGGTTTACGAAAGAGGGTCCCTGGCAATGCTGGGACTAGCTGGTGTTGAAAACGCTGTCGTCCCAGCAGCTATGATCTGAAGAACAGCTGAGTGCTCTCAACCCTAAGCCCTTTTAAACCCTAAACCCTGAAACCTAAACCATCCAGGCCGCAGCAGGTGCTCGGGCTGCACCTCCACGAAGGAGCTTCTCGGGCTTCATCTCCTCGCGGTCCCAAACGCTGCAACAGCGACTGCTTGGAGTTCCAAGCGGATTTCGTACTATGGCTAGTCCACCAAGGAGAAACACAAAACCTGCACTACTTGTACTATGATAATGACAGATATGGCCCCAAGGGGACTGATTATCGTAATACTTGTATTTACGTACCCCTATTCTCGGAAATCCCCCATATCCCCCAAGGCTGCAAATCACCAAGCACTTCATTTTGAGTCTCCAACTTCGCTCAGCCACGGTCGAGATTTTCATGACAGCAGGCCACCGCACGCACAGTTTTCCAGCGAGATACAAAGAAACTAGCAATCCGCTGAGAACAGCGTGGAAACTCTAAGATAGATACGTGTGCTGTGTTCAGTGGCCCGCGACGTGTCAGGGTAATCTGCGCTGGCGCAGAAGCCGAAAAACACAGGAGTGACAATAAAGGCTTCATTGCTGTCCAGCAGAAAGCTCAGCTTCCGTCTGCATCAGTACAATGAGATGGGCTTGGGCATTAGAAACAGAAGATGCAGGAAGCTGATTTCGTCACAGTAGGCTCCATGGCGAGCATCAAACTACGCCGCCCATGAGTGGAGCCTTGTTCTTCTTGCGTGTCACAAAGCTGGCTCACTTGCGAGGAGCCAGCTGCCACGCACACAACTCCACCACAAATCGAAGCTTGCGTGGGTCGAGGGCCCTTTGCTTCAACGAGCTGCTGCTTCGTTGCAGTCCCGGGCCTTTTGGACGAAACTAAACTACAAACGCCTCCCGACAGCCGCGCCAACTCTGCTAGCTGACCGCCCCTAAACGTCCTACTGTACTGTGAAGCCTGAAAGTCCTATGAAAGTCCTACAAAGGCCCCTAAAATGCCCAAAAATCGGTCTGTTGAGTCGGCTTGCCCCTCCCGAGGCCTTGAGCCTGGGAGGTTTCGGAAGAGCAGGCCATCAAGAGGCGAATTCGAGTCTCTCTTTAAACGCGATAAAAGGAAAAGAAGGACGTCTCCAACGTTTCGGAGCGTGGCGTGTAGGGTTTCGTCGCTCACTTAGGGTTCAGAACACAGGGAGTTAGTGAGTTAAAGGGTTCAGGATACTTTTGGAGAAAGCACCAGCTCCCCGCCGGCTTTGCCAGAGGGGGGTCGGCATTCTTCGATTGCTAATCTCTGAGGCCCGAATTTTTTCGGGTCTCGTCAGAAGAGGGCTCCGGCTGCTCATTCTCTACAACCAGGTGGACTGGGCCGGATCAGTGAAGAAAGTGGCCTTGTCCTTGTCGACGTCTTCACGCTCTTCTGGGGCATCATTGGCACTCTGCTTGATGGCCGCCGCGGCCCCAGCTTCCTTGAACTCTTTGGCGGAGTGGACGGAAGATGTGGACATCAACTGCGATCTTCGTGTCAGCACCAAGGAGGCCTCCCCCACCTCCGAGCCCACGGCTGTCACGATCTGAGCGGCCATGCGCAAGTCATAGATGGAGAGGTTGGCGAGCACGTTCTTCAGGTTGTCCTTGCCCAAGTCCTGGATGGTTTTCGACAGAACACAGAGCTTCTCGCTCAGAACGTACGGCTTGGGAATGGGCCCAAGAGCAAGGAGGACGCTTTCTTGAGCACCGCCCATGACATTCAAGCGGATCAAGGCAGACATCGTGACGCAGAGCATGAGGAACACCACGCCGTTCAAGAAGAGGATGATGCCAATGACTGCGTTGGTGAGCTGCTGCATGGTCTCCTCTGCCAAGGAGGGTGCGAAAGCTCCCAGGATGGCCATCATAAGGACCAGGCAGAAGCTGATGGTCGCGTCGAACGCGTTGAGGGCCGGAAGCTTCCATGGCCACGTCATGAGCTGGACGACCATGTAGATCAGCATGACGGTCACGATGATCAACATCTGCACATAGGGGCTGTCGCCGGCAGCCACAATGGCAAGCGAGAGCAGCAAACCACGGGGCATCATGAAGGTTCCATACCACCAGCAGTCACTGCGAAAGCGGAAGAGCAGAAAGCGTGTTGCTGCGAGAAACCATGCATCACCAGCCGAGGCCCGCCTTGGGGCGATGACCGTGGCAAAGATTGCCAAGGTGTAGAAGCCGATCATGCCACAGAGAACAAGCACGCCGGCAATGAACATGGGCGTGTGCTCGGGGCTCTCGAAGCAGAAGATGCCGTTGTGCTCCAGCATGCCGCTCTTGCCGTTGGGATGTGAGTAGCACATCATCGGGGACAGCGCAATCTTGCTGTAGATGGTGAAGCTGACCTGCATAAACTGGCCCAGGGTGCTCACCAGCTTCGAGCTTTCGAAGCGCCACTTTGCTGGCAAGATCTTGCTCACGAAGGCACAGAGGACGAGCCACACCAAGGCGCAGGGCAGCATGGCGGCTGTCATGTGATAGCCGGCCACTGGCGAGCTAGATACACAGTCGAAGCCCACCGCCTGCAGGTCCAAGGTGAAAAGGCTCATCAGATCGAACATCCACTGCAGCTCGGCAGGCCAGGAGAAGGAGATGTAGCCAACGATCCCGACGTTCTGAAGCATGCTGATGGTCATGGCCAGGGCGCATGAAGTGGCCAACATCGTGGTGGCCTTGGCGGTCTGTTTCATGTTCATCATGTAGTACAGCACTGGGACAGTGATGGCCCCAGCGATGCCAGCAGTCAGCCAACCCGCCATGCTGAAAGGCGTGCAATCTGCGCAAATATCTGTGCTCCAAGCTTGGCCGTCCGGACATTGCGTGCAAGGCACTCCCACCCGTCCTCCAGCACACGTCCCTGGCAAGCCACCAGGGCAGGACTCAACAGGAAGGCACTTGTAGACGTCGAAGGGTGCACCTGGGTCCGAGAAGTACCCGGAATCCACCTCCGCAGTGCGACCTCCATCACATTGCAAGCCCTCAGAGCACGGCAAGCACTGGCCCGCCTCGTAGCGGGTGTTGCCCGAGCACACGATACATTGGCCCTGAAACAGCTCCCCCTGGCACTGGCACGCCTCTTCGTCAATTGCGCCTGAGACTGCAGTCGTTCGTCCTGCCGGGCATTCCGCACAAGCGGCAAGCCCCTTCCGAGCCCCGTAGCGGCCAATGGGGCATTTCGTGCAGGAGGTTGACTCTGTCTCGTTCGCAAAGAAGCCCGGACTGCATTCATCACAGATGTCCGCCCCAAGCACGTTGTTGTAGGTTCCAGGGGCGCAGGGATGGCAAGCCGCCATGCCCGTCACGTTGGTGAAGGTGCCGACGTTGCACGGGTCGCACTCAAGCATCCCAGCGGCGGCGTACTTGCCCGCGTCGCAGGCAATGCAGCCAAGCTGTACAGAGAAGACCGTGCCTGTTCAAGACGCAATCTAGACCGCCATGAGATATGTACATGTATGTATATATGTATATGTATATGTATATGTATATGTATATGTATATGTATATGGATATATTATATTATGGATATATTATATTATATTATAATATCATATATTATATTATATTATAGTATAGTATCTTATATATTTTTATTTATTTATTATTTATTTATTTACTTATAGAATCACATTTTCTATGTGTATACAATACCTTGGGCCCTACCTCGGCACCAACATAGCCTACACATGCAAAGCACAGAAACCCGCAATCCTGGCGGACATTGGGCAATGCGGTCCGACGGCACCCAGGCAGCCCCCAAGGAACAAGCGCCGCTGCTGCAAGGAACCAACTTGCTGTTGTCATAGGGGCTCCAAACCACATCCTTGATGGCTGCAGGCAAGCAAGAAGAAGCAGACCATAGAGAACAGTCCATAAAAACTGCCACTCTCCCCTCTCTCGGGCTACGCAACGCAAGAAAAACATCCTGAACCCAAGAACAGGAATCCGCGAGCCATAAGATGCCCGCGCTGGAGCGCTGCGCCAGGTTGGTGAACTCATTGCCAGGTCCGCCAGTGATTTGGCGGATGAGCTGCACACCATCACGATCGCCAAAAGAAGGTGGGATGGTCGTCGGCTCAACTTCGTTGAATTGACGGACACGCCCTGTCAAGCCCATGTAATCCTTCTGCAATGACATCTCGTACAAGGCCGTCCGGGAGGCTTCCGTTCCCAGCTCTGAAAGTGAATGGTTTTGGTCAATCAGGTAGGTGTGCAAGAGGGAAGTCAAGTGCCAAAGGCCATCATAAAAGTAGCCAGTCCACACATAGTCGCATGCGCCTAGTCCATCCGCAAATGCCTGGCAAGCGGCGTTGTAGTAGTTGGAAATGTCAGCCAACTTCGTGCCAGATAGCCCGTGAAGTTCGTTGGTGCTTTGGATGGGTGAGCGGCCGCTGATCATGAGCCCTCCGGAGACCCTTGAAAGCTGCTCAGCCGTGCACGGGCAATCCTCAGAGTCAGCCATGCACTCTAGGAACATAGAGGTGTAGGATTTGTAGGATTTTCCCTCGCTTACAATGTGCAGTGGCGCGCGGTGGCTTGGAGTAGGTAGGCTGCCTGAAAGTTATGGGCTCAGTACAGCCATGGGTGTCAAGACCCTTCCCATAAACGCTCATCAGAACACTCCAGGCACAAGAGGCTCGAGAAATGAGAAGAACATTTGACCTTCTCAATCGCAAGTCACCCTCACCTAGCGACCTGCACGCATACATATATATATATATATATGTACACACACCCATTTATATATATATATATATATATGTACAATTGTATTTTGGACATATTCATTATGCATGGCGGCATGATAGATCACAATCTATGTTGCATAACACGATATTCACACACATGTATATATATACACACATATATATATATACATATATCTCTATATATATATAAACATAAACAGACTACCAGAATACAGAATACAGAATGTAAAACTGTGTATGTGAGTATATATATATATTCATGATTCATGTTACATGAATTTGTATGTATACACATGTGTATACACATATACACATATATGCACATAGGGAGTACAAGGTGTACTGTCATCCAATAATTGCTGTAATAATATATATATATATATATATATATATATATATATA